TTCTTTTTAAATTCAAACTTTTATGAAATTTCATAAGCAGTTTGTTTCTCTCATTTTTATATAAATCGAGAAAATAATCGAGTAATTGCGGGTGAATACAAATCAGAATAGATTAATTCATTCTGTGAGTAACAAATTTGTGAATTATAATTTGTTCATCTTATAATTGCTCCGCCGTCACTCCGCCTCTCAGGCCTCCTCCTTCTTCTTTCTTCATTACATTTACATAACACTCACTCGCGAAAACGCAGTTAATTATGTTCGCACGTTAGTCACGTTATGTTCGTGGAATACGGTGATAGCACGGCACTCCCGACGATAATCGCATGCAACACGCGCTTTACCGTATTACGACGGAAGGAAGAGTAAGAATGCGGAAAAAGTACGATCGCAGGAAGTTACGATCCGCCTCGTAGTTTAGCGCAATGGAGGAACATTAGCTCATAGAGTTTAAACGAATCACCGACGTATCGAAAATCAAATTAATACTAAGCGCTTGATAAATATTGAGATACAAATATTAAGAAATGTTTAATTGAAGAATAAAATCTATCTTATTTTGATCGACAGTATATGTGTTCAGTACATGTATGGCAGCTGTTTAAAGCTAACGAAAAAGACCCTCTTCAGACAACGAAATAATCACTTTTTTTTAAATGCGCACTAGATACATATTTTTTATCTTAAAGTACCATATTAGAAGTATCACAAATTTTAACTAAAACAATTTAAAAAATGAAAAAGTTGTGATTTTTTTGTTTACAATTCTTTTTTTTTTTCATGAACTTTTTAATATTGTTATTTGATTCGTTACGTTATATATTAACAACATATTATTTATACAATAATACATGTTGTTTATACAACAATACATTGTATACAACATATAATGTTTAAAGTATTGTATGTTCCATAATTTTTTTGTTCGAATCAGACGGATAATTTTAGAATGGCAACAATTTCAAAATCAATTTTGAAATTGCTAATTTGAGTATGATAATCTTGAAGCGAGCCATACATGTGACAACGGAGAGTTAATAGGCCACATCTTTTCTTGTCCCACTTTAAACGAAACAGTTTCACTAAATAAAATGAGTAAGCTCCATCGATCTGTGCATCATGTAAATATAAGGCGTTACCGCACTTCTTTTCTCGCCCGTCGGTTTACTTTCTTTTACGCTCGCACGAGCGCGACCCATGTTATGTTAGCCATGCCAAAAGACATTTATACGACGCGAAAGAGCAAGAAAGACGTCGGATATTGCGGAAGCAAGCTTGTCATTTTCCGGTTCGTTGACTGGACAAAGCTACCCGATGGATATTGAACTCACGAATCTCACCGTGGACTTGTCGCTTAAACGGCGAGTGAACGCGACGGTTACGCATGACAGGGGTTACAACGAATAGCGGCGAATACCTAAACTGTATTTGTACTACGCAAATTCTTCCGTAATTTCTTTTTTCCTCGGAGGTCACCGACTTCTCGCGGTATTCCGATCGTTCGAGTAGAAAAGCGTCAAAAGCATCACGCGAGTGCGAAACGCGAGTCTTTACAAGAAATATCAGCGTTCATTACAGCACTTTTTAGCATATCTAATCGCTTCAAACGTACGCGTGCACCCGCAAAATTGCCTTTGGCGTAAAATGTGGCCAAAGTGATAATTTACGGAATTCATATCTGCGCGAGACACCGTATCCGTTGGTGCCACCGTTACCGGTTCCCACGATCGAACGCTTTCTCTCTCGAACCCGTTCCGTGGCGCCTGAAGCGCGAGATTTTATGTTGCTTGCGAGATTTAGCGTGAAAGATCGATACGTTCTCAATTAACGCGGAACAATAGGGCGCGGAGTTGTGGATCGATTGAAACATCTTCTCTGTGAAAATTTCACATATTGTACACACTTAGAAAGAATTGAGTTTTTAATCGCTCACGTATTTTTACCAAGAATGGAATCATTGTTGGAATGCGAATTCTCGGCACTTTTTGCAAATGCAATTAAATGACAGAAGATGAACGAACGTACCGATGCGAAACATCGCAGGTTACACTGGTTGCAAGAAATCATTGAGCAAGCGAAAGTAATCATCATTTATTCTTGGTTTACCACATGTACCTACGCGTGTCTCAAAGCAAACACACATTCCCGAATGGCCGCATCGACTATTACACGGCCAGTTAACTCGTTGCTCGCGACGTGAGAAATTAATTCATAGCTACCGCCGTAAAATCAGATTTCGACAAATTGCGTGAAGCGTTTGCTTCCTCATCGTACATTGTTCTCTTTTTTTGGGAAGGCTTTCACCGGAAAACGCAACAAAGACGTTAATATGATTCGTCATTGCCTGACACAAGCATGCAGCGCAAAGTTGAACATGTAAATTTAAAAAATTTTAATGAAACGACGTATAAGGAATCTTAATTTGAATTTATCTTCGCTAAATGTCTTAAGAGATATATCTTAGTTTGTCTTCTTTGTATCTCTATTATTTCACATTGCCGTCATTACCTGACAAGTATCGTGAAGTTGAATACGTAAATTTAAAAAATTTTAATGAAACAAGGCATAAGGAATATTAACTTATTGTTAGATTTATCTTCGCTAAATGTTTTAAAAGATATATCTTAGTTAGTCTTCGTTGTATATCTATTATTTCACACGGTTCGCATATCGTAGTATTGTCCTGACTAAGTACGATCTGTAATATATCTGTCGCCCACTATTGAAAGTGAGATTGAAATCGTCTGTCTTGCATTGGTCGACGACTGGGTTACCTTGGTATCCGCGTTGCTCTCACAAGGCATTTAAAACTAACGACACGTCAGGGTTAACGTGGACACCCACCGAATGCAGAGTCTGCTATAGCAAAGTCTTTATTATTTCGGATGATAAACAACTTCATAATCAACATAAATAATTCCAAAAGTGCTAACTCAAAATACGTTTAAGTTGCGTAAGTAAGGACGTGTTTTAGGCATCAAGTTCTAACGCCTGGAAAGTGGCAAGATCAAATGCATTTATGGATTCGCAACGCTTCTTTTTATTGCGGAATGTTGATGACCCTATCCGTCACTGTAGAATCTCGTTGGCGCAACACACCACTTGTCGTCGCTATTAAACGAGCCCTGCCGAGATTGCCCCGGGAGCAATCATCGTTCCTTACGGCGAGAAAAATCTTTCGGGCATTAGCCGCGAGTCGGGATAGCGGCGACATGAATGGATGAATTGTTCTTACGAAACGAACGTAATCCCCCTGGAGGATTTCTCTTCGCTCGCGATCGCGCAAGAAAACGGGCTCAAGGTAGCCCTTCGCTATGCAACCGCGATTATGCAGCTGCGTACGTGGAAGTCAATCGTCAGGTGGGCCTTCCGAGTATCTCCTTATGGCTTTACGAATGCAAGTAAACGCGCCTTTGAATACCAGAAGCTACAACTTACGATATTCGTGCGAGCGCGGAACAAACTATTCGCGGAAAATTATGCGTGAAATCATGCCACTCGAAAGTAGCAGAAATGGTTCGTCGACACGTCACACTGCCATCCGGAATGTTTTCGCAATCTTATTCAACGTTCACTCACAATCCTGCGTTACGTGGCGTTACGCAGCTTCGTTAAGGAATGTGTATGTACATACGTACAGGTAAATTTGTTCCATTTGTTCGAAACCTTATCCCCGACTTAACATGCACGATGAGTTGATGCGGCAGATTGGTGTAATCACGACGCGGTTGCATTTCATAACGCCGATTCGAGTCGCGCATCGAAATAAACGTCTGCACGCGGCGCACGACATCGAACACGAATTCTCTCTCCCACGTACGACGGCCGCCGCGATCGTTACCGATTGTTGGGTAACGTGACGCGACGACGACCGGTTTGCCGCGAAATGACCCGGTTGGCCGGAGGCCAGACGCCAGGAAAAGAAGGGCGACGCGAAGTCGACCAGCTGACCCAATGTGTCCGGGGACGTGGATGACCTCGGTACGTCGGTCCCGATTGCCGCGAATACCGAGAAATGCCCGTTCGTCGAATAAACCGGATGTCACCTGCCCCGGTGACACTCCGCGAGTTCAACGTCACTGGATCATTGGGTAATGGATCGCAATACGCAAGCACGACATTATAAGTGTGAAAATATTTGAAATTAAAACGTTTTCAAACGATTGTACGCGTTAAAAGAACCTCCGAGAATAATGCACGATAGATTAAATTTGCTGTTGACTCCTTCCCGCGCGGATCAACCTGTCACCTACAATCAAATCAATGCATACTGTAATAAATGCTGATGTAGAAAGGTGCTCGTGGCTACCCATCGAGATGTAGTGTATGCAGTCACGTGTACACGCAAGTGCACAGACGCTCACGTGCACACGGCGAAGAAAACGACGTAGAGATATCCCTCGCGAGAAAAGGAGTCGGTCAGATAACTGTACGTCGCGGCCTCCGGACGACATCTTCGGTGTCGCCGGTGTCTGGAGTTCTCTCTATATGCCCATTCCCACAGCCACACGCATTTTCCTAGACACCAAGACATTTGTCTTCGCTTTTTTTCTCTTATCCTCTTTTCTTCTCCTTTTTTTCTTGAATTGCGAGTAAACGCGTAATTATGTCCTTGAGATCTCCAGAAAAATCTTACGAGTGTCATACTTGAAACTTCCACATGTGTATTTTCTCTCTCTCTCTCTCTCTCTCTTTGTAAGTATCAAAAGGGAAATTACTATTGCGATATAAAAAAATATCTGCGAATGTGAAAAAAGCTGATATGATGACATCCGTATGACGCATAGCAATTATTTCGCTAGGAGCTATGACGATGACCAAATGAAGCTCCTACTATCATGACATCCTTCAATAATTTCCTTTCACCACCCACGCTCCCTCTGTCGAATGCATCGAAGCGACCTTGTGTTTCAGTCACATATGCAAATTAGACATATTAAATAAATTGAGTTAAGTTTTTTCACGTGCGTTAAAAAATATTTTATTTTCTCTTCTTACAGATGGAGTTTTATCGGATAATGTTAGGGCTTCCAGGATAGAAAGGGATCTAGAGGGTAAGTCTCTCCATAAATGTTTACGTAACGTGTCTAACAAGTGTATGCTAGTCGTGACACATTTACGACACCTGAATCACACCGATACACGTAGACAAGGATTGCACTCAAATTGAGCTTTCCGAACGACTCCCAGTGTGTCTCTGATGAGAATATTATTTTTATATTTTAGATTTAACGATTCTACGCTGTAAAGTTTGAGTGCAAACCTGTAATATCGAACGATCTTTCCGCTTTATTCTTTGTTTCTGCTCTCTAACTTATCTTTTCTCACGATACATTATTTTGCGTATCTTAATTATCCATGTGCGTGTTGACGCGAGGTGCGGCCGTGTAAATAAAAGTTCTCAAGCGAGTAATACACTTTCCTGTCGCTCAGTTGATTACAATATGCATATATCTCGGTTCGGTGGTATCTGGCTTCAAGATGTCATACGATTGATTTGCGAGATGTTCCTCCCCAAGACATGAAAATTCATCATGCTGTGGACGGAAAACTTTAAGACATTTCAAACTCTGTCTTAAAAATATATAATGAAATAACAATAAAATAAAAAGTAAACTATTTTTTATTTAAATATATTATTTTAATTTTCTTTTTTTTTTATAGAGAAAACCGCTCAATGTGCGTGATCTCAGAATTTTCAGGACTAAGGGGTTGTACATAAGCAACTTAACTAATGGCTAAATATCTTTCTCTCTTTTCCTCGTGCGCATGCCAGTTTTTCTCACTTCAAGAAACAACGTTTTTTTTTTTTTTTTCGAGAAGTAGGGTAACGACGCAAATTAAGCGGGGTACCGCGGATAGTGTTGCAACAGGTGTCCTAGGCTACGAAAGAAGAAGGCTCGTCTACTAAGATCGTCTGTCTCTTTTTTTTCTGTTTCTGTTACTGCTCCCGTCTGCTCCCCGCCTTCAACTCTTCTCAACAACGGATGCCGTCTGCCTCCAACGTCCGTCCGCCACTCCGTCTCTCCGACGACCTACATTACAATTAAAAAAAAAATAATAATACAATATTATGACGCGAACCGTCATCGACCGACGCAAACAAACAACGCTGACGTACACTTGGTATGACGATTACGACATGGACGGGTAAACGTTGAAATGCGACTGAACGAATTGAATTCGTTGCACACATTCACGCTTGATTCTAAATTCTCAATCACATTTCGATAACTTCGCGTCCCGTTTTGCTAATGTAATCGCTTCTCTCCCCCGTTTCTTCGTTGCCTTGATTCCATTGACAATTCATCGACGTATTTCTATGCCGATATAACATTATTCCTCGTATATTTCTTTCGGACTTGGCTACTTAGGAGTCACCACAGTTCTCTTAGTATCGGCACGTCCTGGAAAGTCCGTACCACCGGTAGGATTATTGACAAAAACGGCACGGACATTCGTGCAAGATGGTGCAAGTACCGAATTTGCCACTCAGGTCCTGGGCACGACCTTGGATAACGGCCGCCTCTACGCGAGAATTTTATCTACGTCCAGCAGAGTGTTCTACGACAGAGAGCCGGCGCCGGATCCATCGAGTCCATACGTCGTTTACCCTTCGAGAGCACCGGAAGACGATTGGCGGCTTCGAGTGGCCCTCGATAACGCGCCGATCAGAGCTATCGAGGAGATTGAAGTGCTGAGTGGCATCGATGCAGAATCGAGTGAAAAGAAAAAGGAGACTGGGAACATCTCGAAACTCGACGAACTATCCAAAGAAAATGATATATTCAATAAAAGAGAGTTGAACGTGGACACGCAAAGATTTAAACCAGCAAAGGTTCGACCGGCTGAAAATCTGCCCACTTATACCGTTAAACACGAGTACGTATCAAGCAACTTTGATACGCTCGAAGATGGGCAGTCGAAGAACTTCAGACCTCGAGTACCGAAGATCTTTAAACCGCAGGTGAAAACTCCGCCGCAAAGGAAACTGGATATAAAGTCCCTCGCTACGGTGACCTACCATGGTTTCGCGGATTTCACGACTACGGTCGGCGATACCGTCATCGTCTTTTCGCCGAGCACGTCACCAGCGCCTATGGGACGTCCCGCTACCACGATTAAAGGCGACGCCACGCTTCGTCCGGATGACGGCGTAGCCGTATTGAAAATCCGACCTACCACCGTGATGGAACACGCGAGAACCGATCGACCTTACGAAGGAGACCGGAAACACGGCTCGGATGACCAGCTTCTGAGCGCCATTAATCGCGGCAACATTCAGCCAAGCGTCACTGAGGAAATTGATGCCGAATCGTCCACGAGATCCACGGAACCGTTACTGCTGGTACCCGATGTCGAAACGGGATCGTTGAAACCGACGGGTCTCCTGAAGGTCGTCGATTCTACTACTTCGTCGGACGGTACCACGACTCATTACAAGAGCCATATCTATGGCACGTATATCGGCACGAATTATGCGCAGATAATTCACACATCTTCGAACGTGTACTTCTTCCCGGATGATGCCACCGTAACATATGGAGCTGATGACACAACCGTGGATTATGGTACAACAGAATTCGACGAGAAGGATACCACTGTCGAATTGCCTTCTACCACGCCGACGACGATCACGACTAGCGAAGAAGAGATGAATGAACTGACTACTCCGTTGAAAGGCACAACGGACAGTGTCTTAACGACATTGAAGGACATCTTAGAAAGTGCTAGAAGAGTATTAGGAACAACCGAATCGGTGCTGCCGACTTTAGACGATGAAATTCCTAACGACATCGTGCCAGGAGATCCTCAGGGTCGTAGTATCAAGGGAGGATCTTCTCAAAATAAACTCCGACCCGGACATAAGCCGCATGAAAATGCGGAGGAAAAAGTAACGTTGGCTACTAGATTATTACCGTCTACCGTGTACAAGACATTTACATATTTCACGACTTTCTTCATTCCGGGCGGCAGCGATCAGACTACGACTTCGATACGTTCTCGGGAGGTAGTCTCTTCCGAAGTAACTTTCTTGACAGAGTTAATACAGCCTACCTCGACCAAAAATTTAATTCGTCCTACTACGTCGCCAGGCTCAAGGCAGAAAACACCAAGCTTGCCTGATGAAATCGAGGAGGAGCAAACTACCAAACAAGATGAGGAAATAGAGCTCATTTTCAAGACACTGTATACAACGTATACGTATCTAACGACATTCTTCCAAGAAAATACATCCAGTGTATCCAGTCGGCAAGTTGTTGAGACTAACGTCATCACGCAAACCGTTGGACCAAATGGTGTTTCCGCCGTTGTCGCCAGTCTCTTCGAAAAAGATGAATCCGTTCTGATATCGCCAACGACGATATCGGAAAATATCTTACCGTCGATAAGAACAAACGCTCGCACGCCCGAGGATTTCAACAAAGGTATCGAGGGCTATCCTGACGAAACGACAGAAGGAGGTTTCACCACTTTGCAGCAGCAGGATACCACGATACCCGAAAATATTCCAACGGAATCCATCACGACTGTTGATGATTTCGAGACGTCCGATGGATGGACCACTGATTTAGAACCGAGTCCCACGCCAGCTATGGCGAGCGCAGCAGTTAAGGAACAGGTGAAGACGTATTATACGACATACACGTACTTCACCACCATTTTTGTGGACGACGAGACGGAAATCGAAACACGTACTGAAGTTTTTACTAACGTTGTCACAGAGACAATTACACCTACCAAGGTTCAATCAGTTCCGCAGCAGACGGTTCGACCAACGACGCCAAAATCTGAATTTGCCGAAAATAAGCCTGCGCCCCCTCCAGAAATTTTGGCTTATCTAGAAGCTCTTCAACGTCAAAAGTCGCAGAAAGAGGCACTTTTATTAGCAAAGAAAGTCCAGCAAGCTAACACCGATCAACATGCTGAGGAAACTACTGAAAGTAGCACTGAGATTACAACGGAGATACCCACCACTTTGAAGGACCGAATCACCACTGAGCGTTCATTCCGCAATTTCCAAGTAAGCGCCCAAGTAACACCCAATCCTCCGACTGACGTGGAAGTTCTGGGCTCCATGATCACGGACGTCGTATCCTCTTCCAGTGCCGGTGGCGGCACCGTTCTAGATGTGGACAAGAGAAATATCGTTCCTGAAGATCAAGAATTATCGGAGTCTAACAATCACGAGGTAGAACCCGCGCCGACGTTGCTTCTGCAGACAAGTTACACGACTTTCACGTACTTCACAACGATGTATAAAGGCGATGAGACAAATGTCGCCAGTCGCCTAGAGACAGTTACAAATGTCGTGACGGAAACTTTAAGGCCGTCTATCGTAGTGCCGGTTCCAACCAGCACGCTGCCGGTAACATATTTCACGACCTTTACATATTGGACGACGTTCTACAAGGGCGGTGACACCATAACCACTAGTCGCGAGGAAACGATCAGCAACGTTGTTACAACGAGCGTTTCGCCTACACCTACGGTAGAACTCGGTGTGATAATGACTTATACGCCAACTGTGAATCCGCCGTCAGAGGAGGAATCAGTCAACGAAGAGGAATCCAAGATCACGGCGGATAACGAAGTGACACCTTTCGGCAGCGCTGCATCCGGAAAATCCATTACTGAGAACGGACCGATTACAACCAGACCTGACGATCAAAGCGTCGTGAACGCTTCGTCAATTTCGCCCGAGCCTACGACCTTCTATACTACATTCACTTACTTCACTACATCTTACGTCGGAAATGAGACGATCTTGAATAGCAGGCTGGAGACCGTAACTAGCGTATCGATACCAGACATTGCGACGCAACAGGCAACCGGTCGCGCGATCGGTGGACCTGTGTATCCGTCAATTCAGACAATAAATGCCGATGAGAAAACTGTGATACCATCCAAGGCGTCTGAATCTCTGAAAACGGGTTTAATTTCGACAATACGTTCGAGCAAAATACATGACGATGCCACGACTCATTACATGACGGATGTATATGGTACTTACATAGATGGATATTACGCACGAGTAGTAAAAAGCTCGACGAGAATAGAAACACCGTCATTATCTTCTTCGATAGCCACACCGGTTCTCCCTACGGGAGTTTTATCTTTGAATAAAGGAAGCGTAATAGATGCTGACGAAGTCACCACTGTTTACTTTACGACTAAACAAATCGGCACCCTCTTCGAGGGTACCTACGCTAAAGTGATTGAAAGTACATCAAGCACGAAGATAGATGAGGAAAGAAAAGCGAGCATTCCACCGACTCAAGGTCATCGAACTGGCTTAGTACGTTTGATTCAAGGCCAAATGGAGAATAACGGTACCACTACATTTTATCAATCAAAAGTAATCGGTACCAGCATCGAGGGAAGATACGCTCAGATCATTGAAAGTACTTCTAGCTTCTTTGTACCGAGTTCCACGAAGAATATCGCGCCGACTTCTACTCTACCTCCGGGCCAATCGACGGGTATTCCAGTAATATCGCCTTCTCCCGCCGTTATCCAATCTTCTGAAGACCATACAGAATCTTCTGATCAAGACGAAGATGATCAGAACGAAGAAGATGACGAGGAGGACGAGGAGGGTGATGACGGGCAAAGTTCTAAAAAGAAATCACGATTGACATTCTCGACAAGAAAGAGAACCTTTACGCCCGTGATCAGACCGTTCGCCTCCAGGAACAGGCCGACCTTCAATCCGAAACGCAAAGGCGCGCAAGCCGCGACGACGATTACTAGAACGGATATAACCCCGACGATAACTGCCACTTTGGCGGGTAAGGGTAACAGATTCGCATCATCGCGGGGTCGTGTCACCTCGCCAATCGGGCCGTATTCTTCGACGTTATCTCCATCAGGTTCCAGAAGATTTTCAGGCAGACGCGGAACCGCTACTAGTTCAAGCTCAGCATTTCCAGCGGGAAGTACTCGAGGTAGAGTACAGCCCAGAATAACGCCGTCATCCGTGTTTCAAAGCAACAGACGCGGTCCTACGTCGGTGAGAGGATCCTCTGCTAGGGTTGCATCTCGCGCTTCGAGTTCCGCGTTTCCCAGTGCTTCATCGAGATTCCGTGCAGGTATTCGACCGTCGTCGACGTTATTGAGAGGGCAACCTACCATCAAACACGACGATCAAGAAAACGACGCCAATGAGTTTACCACGACTACGCTTGTAACGGATGAAACGCCATTTACGGAATACTTCGAAGGTGAGACCGCTACCACTCCTCTGCAAACCACGACAGAATCATCTAGGAGATCTACGAATCCGCTGCTGAGATTCCGCAGACCTATTAATTTAAACGGTAACGGCAGATCGGTTACTACTTCAAGACCACCAACGACCACAACTCCGAGACGATCGGGAAATTTAAATAGACCAAGCGCGCCAACGGTACCTAGAGTAACCAATGGGCGAACAAATACCAGGGCAACTCCTCCGGTATCTACGAGAACACGACCGAGTAATACAGGTCTGTTCCCACCACGTGGATTCCTTGGTAGAAAGCAAGAAGCGTCTACTGAAGAGCCGACTGAGCCAAATGAGGGACAAAGCGAAAGTAACGAAGGTTTCGAAGACGAGCCCGTTGAAGAAATATCGGACAACGATTACGAAGGATCGGAACATGAAGACAAAAGATCTAATGTAAATCGTCGATCTGGAAAAGCTGCTGGACCCGTTGTACAAATTAGACCTTTTGGAGCCAGAACACGAAGAGTTCGTCGTCAGGCTAGCCAATTGAGAGCATACAGCAGCCGTTTTCGTAGACCCGCTCAGTCCTCTGCTGCAAAAGCGGAAGATAGATCTGATTCATTAGACGCCATAATAAATAAAGAAGACACTATAAAAATAGCACCAAAACCTTCTGCTCGTTATAATCGCGCGCGAAGTTTAACATCTTCACAACCACAAAAGATATCCTACAATTCTGACCAAACAGCGGAAACGTCGGAATTAACGAGTCAACAGAGTAAGCCTAGAACCAGATCAAAACAATCTAATGGAAATGGATCTAATAGAAATGGATCAGTCAGAATAAAACCATCGCCGGCCTCGAACAATGGAAGACAATTTACATTAAGAGAAAAAGACTCTTCGAACAGATCGGCATATAAGAGACCGACTTCTGCTTCCAGAACAAACAGTAGACCTACCAGTAAATCTGACAACGGAAGAGTGAGACCACCGAGATTACGAAGTGGATCTTCCAAATCGACGGAATCTTCAACGAATTCTCGAAGAGTACCATCGTCTCGCTCAAGATCGAGCGGAAGAAATGGGAACAGGAGAGTTCCTACAAGAGGTAGAGGAACCTACGAGGACATTCGGGAAGCGCCTACCATCTATCCAAATTACGACGGTACCATAACTGTAACGCATTATGTACCGACGGAAGTGACGATTCCCGTGGTAAACAACGGCGTCACGGAACAACGAAATATTATAACAGCGCAACCCAGCACTGAAGTCCTCGGGCCTTCTCAATATAGCACGGTAACAGCTGGAGACGGAAAACAGCTCGTAGTGATCGTTAGCGAAGTGACGGGTACCAATATTCAAGGCCAGGCCGAGGTTACACGATTCTTGCTGCACGAGACATCCACCACTCGTATCTCGCACACCCTGACGAGCCTTGGTGGTCGCCGCGTCTCTCAATCGGTTATTATACCCACGACGGTATACTCCGTGGAGAACATAGTTTCTACGGTACAACCTTCCTTGCCTGGCAACGCTCCCCTCGCCAATATTCTTCTCTCGCAATTACTTCTGGGTCAATTAGGTCAACCGAATCCTTTGTTACCCCAAGCTACACCCACCACGCAATATAACACACGCACCACCTCCTACGTCACCACAATAACGAAACATCAGAGCACCATCATTCCCCTTACTTTCCGCGGGAAGGAGATCCTGACGACTCTGGTCGACTCGTCGACCAACGTCGTTACTGCGACGGAATTCATAACGGACACTGTTGTGGTGACTCCGACAGCCGCGATACCGGCGGCCAACATAAATTCCCTCTTGTTGTTGCTCCAACAACCGCAGACGCAGCCGCAGAATACCAATCCGTTGCTGGATCCTCTGTTCGCGGCTCCTCCGTTCACGCAGAGTAACACCTTACCGGGAGAAGTCGAGAGAAGACATCAGCCGGCCGATTCCGACTACAAACACGATGACGAGTATTTCGAGGAGGACGACGTGGAAGAGTACCAGAAGTCGTCCAGATCACGCGGGCGCGCTAAATCGAATGACAAGAAAAAAGAGTCCAAGGCCTCCGCAGCTACAAAGGCTGAATCCAGCGTGGTGACGCTTTATGTTTCCGGCCGCAGACCCGGAGAATTCAGCACTGTTCTGAGTACTGTAAAAATCGACGATTCCGCCACCGCATCTAGAAGACGAAGAGACGCTTCAGAAGGAGCCGTCGAAGTCCGACCTTCCGTACCGCCGTCGTTGCATGCAGGACCGGTGGCCGTTGCCATTCTGGCGGGAAGCGAAGATCCTACCGACGCGCATGCACCAACACAAAGTCTCGAGAGCGTAGTGGGTGACGTCGGACGGCACATTTCCACGTCCATCTATACCTAAACATTATCCCTCTCTATTATACAAAAATCCTTCCCCGCTCCTCATCCTCTTCTCTCTGTCTTTCTTTCGCCCTTTTATATATTGTAAGTCCATAATTTTATTGAAAACCCACTTAGAATTGCCCCTAGAGGTTAATCGCCTTTCCCAAATCTCTTCCATCTGGAGAGCGTCGGTCCACCTTCTTCGGGCACGTCGTAGTGGGAAGAAAAACGAGCAACGTCGATGAAAATCGAAGTTGCTGCGTATGTAATATAGACAATCCCGAGACTGTCGGGATCTCTTCCCTTTGATGTTGCGTAAAGGAAGGGCCATTGGGTAATTGATAGCTTCGATGAAACGAGAGCCATCCGCGAGGATGACCGTCTCGTGTTCAGTTCGCTCTCTCCCAACCACTCTCGTATTTCTTCTGTATTTCCTTCTTAAAAGTATCCCCTTCGAGCGTCGTCCCTCATTTCCTTTTACTAACATAGCCTCGATCTGCCGCCGCACGCGCGCCCACACGACAAAATCGGACACTCTTCCGTCTCGCCAACAACATTACAACAAACAGACAAGTCGCAAGCGCCTGGTAATTAAAAACGCAAAGTGTTAAAAAATGTACGTGAAATTCAATCGAACGAGCACACAAAAAATCGAACACGAGACGACAGCGATATTTAACTCCAATCGATTAATGCATCATGAAAGCAACACTTCGAGAATGGCTTTATCGCTACATCCTGCTTGATCATACAGATTTTCATTAAATCGCGGAGTGAATTTAAATACAAGACGAGATGTGATTTAAATAGACGAGTGGAACGATCGCCTTTGCAGGTAATCTCTACGCTGAATCGGTGCAATACGGAGGTAGGAATATTGAACGCAATAGAGAAGGCATCGTTGACACATGGACCTCAAGCGAGGATTATATAAACAATGGAAGGATCGACGATGATGAATTCCTTGAGGAGACACCACGGAAGCGTGTTAGAATTCGAGTACCCGTGGTGCGTAGCAGAACTGCTAGACAGCATAAATTTACGGTCGTCAGGCGCAGACCCTTGACACCTCACACCAAAGATATCACGTATGCCACGTCTACCACGCATACACCACGAAGAATCGTGGTAACGCGCGTAAGAACTCTCGGATCGGATAACTCGATTTATCCGACCGACATTCCAGACTATGGAAATTACCAGCCTACCGGTTTCGGAAAGCATAAAGTAACCATAACCAGACGCAGAAAGCTTCAACCTACGCCGACATCGATCAAAAATAAAGTCAGAGTGACCAGGAAGAAATTAGTCGCGGTGCGTCCGATACTACCGACGTCGACACTTGCCGTTATTACTACTGGATTCTTTACCGCGCCTTCTTCCGAATACGATGAATATTCAGACGAAGAAGAACGCGAGGTGATTACAGGGAAAGATCACTCCGTCGTTACGCCTAATCTCGAAGAGACACCGAATCTTATTGACAACAAACCAGACGAGGAGGCGAGTCTTGTATCGTCGGACGCCAGCTATATCGTATCTGAAGATAGCACATTAAACACGCCGGTGATTATTACCGACAATTTCTTTTTCCCTCCGTCTAACAACGAGGAAGACGAAGAATACGAAGATGACTATCATGACATGACTGTTACGACTGAAAATGCAAATATCACGATTTTAACGAAAGACGAACATTCCACAACTTCTCCTAAGGTTGAAGATAATATTGTATCTAATAAGAGCGATGTTGAGATGCAGACAGAGAACGGCAATATTACTGTAACGACAACACCGGTTAGCGAAACATCAGTAAAACCGTTCGAAGAGCAAACAATAAAGACGCCTCAAGAATCTGATAATGCATCGATAAATATAACGGAATCGACTTTGAAAGACGTCAATAATACAGAAATATCAACGAAAACCGTCGTGAACGAAGATGATGATAAATTTACAACGAAAGAGCAAACTACTACCATTACCACTCTTGAGGAGCAAACTACTTTCATGGAAGACATCGCTACATTAAACGTACCCGATGAATCTACGAGCCTTCCCGGTAAAGAAAACATTACGACGAAAGAAATTCCATCAGTTACTGAGACGATACCGCACGGTATAGAAAGTAAAGAAAAAGAATCGACCAAAGTTCCCGAAGACACTACAGACCGCAGCACGACGCCAGAAACGATCAGCGAGAACTCAGAAGAAAATCTAACAGTGCAACCCATCCAACCGGATGTCATAATTGACTCTAATTCGACCCAGATTTCTCTAATCGGAGCAATCCTGCCATCTGATACTATCGTGATCGCGCCAAGCTTCGAGAGCGTTATACCGCTCGCGACTACGAAGTCACCGATACGCGACACCGATACGACGAGTTATCTCGACGATTCGTACATACCCAGCGTGATACCCCTCGGCGGAAATTACACCCGCGAGACAGTCCCCGCGACGAAAGTCACGAGCGAGATCGCTTCGCCGACGCCGGAGGAGATTGAGGCCGGGCTAGCGGATGATCTTTACCTGTCGTTGTCTCGCCTCGATTTCCCCGGGATCTTACCGTCGAAACCAGGCACAATCGATTCAGAGACGGATCTCGCGCTCGAGTTCGAGCCCAGCACAAGTGTCTATTACACAGAGACGGTAGTGACGTCGACGCGACTAAGGACGTACACGTACGTGGTGACGCAACTTAACGGACTGGAGACTAAAGTGACGTCGTCGACGACCGTACGACCGAGAGTGACGACACTTACGTTGACGGTGCCGGTCACGGTGACTGTTACTCCTACCGTGGAGTCGTCAGCCGGCTTCGAATCATCTGTGTATAATCCAGTACCCGTTACCGGTGAGTAGTTTACCTTTTACCCTTCTGAGACCTCTCTCTCTCTCTCACACGACGATCGCATAATGCACAAGCATTGAAATTTTTAAAATCCGTGTACGAAGCATGTACGATGTTTCATCGAAAATAATATTGATCGAGATGCGTAAACTCGTTGAAAAAAAACGACGAAATTAGTCATTTTGCCATTGAGTGTATGTACAAGTGCAACAGTGATCGCCGTATGTAATATAATCCTTAGACTAATAAACTATATTTTCGCTATAGACTTCCTTGATTACGCGAATTCGGTTAGACTTGTACGAAACGGACTGTTGGACTGTGTAAATGCTCTGTTAAATATTGTGTTCAATTGGCTTCTGGTATTCTAAATTTTTTCCTGTACATTACAGCTCTGTATGAAAATGTAAATACTGTATATGACAAAACGACGCTGTACATATCTAAATTTACGTTTTTTTTATGTACGATATACATATATATATATATATATAATATTAATCCTGACCCCTATATTAATTACATAACTTTATCAACTGTATTTTTTTCTGTAAAAATTCGTCGTATATTCGATTGTAATAATATACGATTCTTTTTAGTTCTTGTATATTAGTACAGATATTATTTGCTCATTGATTTGAACAACATCAACTGTAGGTAAGCTTACAATTTTCCAACAGAATCTTTTATATTGTTGAAAATTTTTATTTTAATGTCTCCGAAAAAACAGTAATAAAATATGAAAACGAAATATATATATATATATAATGTATATATATGTATATATACACACATATATATTTCGTTTTAATATTATATATATGCAACATGTGTTGCGAATCATTATTTATGAAATCGTAATGATAGGAGAGCACGAGGCAAAGGATGAAGAAGAAGGGCGCAGGTTCAATTTAGCGACCCGCGTAATGTCGAACGGTGTCGAAGTCATTGTCGCCGGACCGACTCCAGCATTACGATGGGAAAATTCGAATCCTCAACCTACCCTCACCTTATCCGAAGCGGTGGTCATGCTCCTGCCGCAGGATAAGCCGAACGAGTTTGTCACGAAGACTTGCACAACAACTTTCACGTACCTCAGCACAATCACCAAGGATGGAACGACTACCGTTTCTACGGAGCAACAGGTGCTTATGCAAACTTATTTGTATATACTTTTCTACAAATAAAATCTGTTTTCTGTTACAATTTATTAATATTTAAGTCATACAGAATATTTTATCTACAACTTAACTGCTAAAAACAATGTGTAAGAGAGAAATTATGAAAGATATTACAAGAAATGAAGAAGATATATTACAAAGCGATTAGATTTACTTTTTTATCAATTATAATTAATAGGAGCTATAGTTTTAATATGATTTATTTCAAAAAGACCTGATAATCTTTAAATCAAGAAATTTTACAAGATATATTACAAAGCGATTAGATTAATTTTTTTAATTATATTTTTTCAATTATAATTAATAGGAGCTATAGTTTCAATGTGATTTATTTCAAAAAGACCTGATAATCTTTAAATCAAGAAAAATTTTTACAAAAAAATTTGATTATCATACTGAATCTCTCTTAATCACTTTTTTTCACATATTTTTCAATTTTTGAACGTCCTACAAAAATTCTCATTGACATAGTAATTTTATTATTTCCTTTAGGTTGTAGCGAATACAGCGACGGAAGAACGGCACAGAAAACCTGGTTCCGAAACGGCAGCTGTGACTCTGGAAGCGTCCCCGACTTTACGTACCGAAGTATTTAAAACGACGTATACGTATTTGACTTTGAACACAGATCATCCGGACGTGAATGACGCCTTAGAAAGTAGCACGAAAGTCATAACGAACACGGTTACCGCGCCGCAACATTACCTAGACATGATTCTCGAGCCATCAGAGGCTCCGCGACCGGAAACCAATACATATCTCAGTACCAGAGTGTTGGAGAAGACGTTTATGGATGAGGGTCGAACGAAAATAGAGACGGTCAGCGACACGATTACTCAGGTTCGTTTATTTTATTTCCGCGAAATTTCCAAGTCGGTATTTACTGCGGCATTATGTTATTTCCTTTTCTCAATCTTTGTTTTTAGCTAATAGTGACAGAATCAGCACCTCCGCCGCGACCGACCAGTGTCACAACAACCCTGACCGCCTTGGACAACACCGACGGTAGCGTGACGGATATGACCAAGACGTATTACATCACGTACACGTATTTCAACACATTTTTGGAGAAAGGTAGCACGGTGGTTCGCACAAATGTAGCGACATCGACTGACGTGGTATTGGAGAAAGTGCCGGTACGAAAAACAACCATGAAAACCGCTCCGGTTAATCCCACGCCGGAGCCTATACAGATCTTCGCTACTAAAACGTACCTTACCACGTTCACTTACTTCACGACATTATTGCAGGTATATACGGTACTTTTAATACACTGTATTTACGCCCTACATACATTTAAAATCTCTCTTTCTCTCCTGTCATCAGGCTGGCCCAGATGGCGAAACGTCAACGACCGTGACGTCTCGTTCACATATCGTTGAAAATGTCGTGACGGAGTCGATAGCTCCGAGTTTATTAGACGCCGGATATATGAATGCCCTATTGACGACCGCGCATCATTCGGATCCGGTGAAGAACGTCGTCACAGGCTCGACGATTATCTTCTTCGACGAGGAGGATCAGATTGATCCAACCACGACCTCGAATCTCCCGCAATCAACCTCTATTACGGAAATAAAGAAACACGAGAAAAGTCCCACGAATACAACTACGGTGTCAACGGAGACGTCGGAGGAGGGCGCTAACCCCGATATAAAGCCAGCAGATTCAATAGATAAACAGGTATGTTTCATTTGCAACGCTTTTTAAGATAAATAAAAAAAATTTGTTTTAAATATTTATCACAACGGAACATATCAAATTACGCGAATATTTTACATGTAAATGAGATTTGCAACTTTTATGCAGGATGATAATGATACTGCGGTATTAAGCGACGGACCACAAAATAAGAGGCCGAATTCTCAATCCGGAGACGATGTTTCAGTTAGCAAACCTCTCCTCAGTCTGGGTTCTTTAGGGATAAATAGTTTATCCGCTTTGGGGCCGGTAATTACAGCAATGGCTGGATTATTGCAAGGAAAAACCGCTAATCGTAGAAATGACAGCGTACCTCTCGCAGAGATTCAAGAAGTTACAACGCAACGATCGCCGATCTACATACCCGTCGCAGAATTTGCTGACGGCGGTGATATAGAAACCGCTGAAAGCCAACACATCGGTAATGATCTTTTCTTTTTAAAAAATAAATAATAGTTATTTGTTATATTCTATTTAGCGCGTTTCAAATACGGTTATTTTTTTTTTATTTAGCTGCCCATCTGGCAAATCTCAATCATAATTACATTGCCGAAACGCGTCACAAGGTGACCAGCAGTCTTGCCGACGGTATACCGATATCCCCCGGTGAAATAATCACAGCAAACAGCGACGTTATCATAGGAAAACCGGGAAAAATGGCGCCGAGACCGCCGCAGACGTTTCTAAAGGACGAAGAGCACATTGGCATGAAACCACCACCGTTACCAGTACCGAATATTCCGGTGCATCCTGTATTGGAGGTGCTAGAAAACGACGATGACGTACAAGCTCAACAAACAGCGCACGACGCGCAGGTGCAAATTTTGCCGGCTCATCAGGTTTACGAAGAACATCTGAAAGTGCCGGTTTCTATTCCTCTTAATACGAATCATCCGACAGCTCCTAAGCAGCCTCAAAAATTGCTTCCCGTTCAATCATCGCCGCCTAAGAGAATCGCATCGAAACAGGATATCCTCGAGAATGATCCCTTACTAAAACCACCTAACAGACCGAATATAGAGCAGTATGCAAATCCTAATGTAAACCATAAAATTCCGGAGTGGAATCCCGAGAAATATAGAAGACCCTGGAGCGCTAAAGATCCCTTGATACCACCTACGAGACTTGACGAAGTACATTCCATTTGCACTATATACATTCCTATATGTTTTATAAATTAGTGGAAAAAATGAGCAGAATTAATTCTAATATAATTAACTTAATCTTTCTTTAGAAATTTATTTTTATATTAATTTAACATTATTTAAAAGAAACTAACAAATTTTTTTTTACAACTTTTTAGTAACAATATGTTATTTTTTAATAACAATAAAAAAATATATATGAATTCATTTTGCTCATTTTGTTCCGCTAAATTATAAGATTTCTATTATATACATTTGCGCAGTATACGTATATACGGTAACATATACAATTTATTAATTTATTTTAAGATTCATCCGGACAAACCGATTGAAAAACCACGACCGACCTCGGTCATATCTTCGGAAGAACAGAAACGACCACCTTGGGCACAAAAAGATCCTCTATTACCAGACAGTTCTATCATCATACAGAGCTCAGAGTCAAAACCGACTCCTACGGAGCCGATAGTTCATCAGGTGCCACATGTCATTGATAGATCGACGGGGCAACCTTTATTAGTCAATATTCAACCCAGTCAAGTAGCTAATGTCGTAATTCCTCAAGGCGGCACGCAAGCTCTGATTTTCGGAGACACTAACGAGCCTCATATAAGTGGCCAATATTTTGACGATCCATCGCCTTATCCGGAACCTGAAGTTGGACCAGGTTTTGTTGGTATCCAAAAGGTAACGTGTGTTATCAATTTCAATATTAGCATCCTCGCATAAAGCAACGTTTTTATATCATTGTATATGTCTAGGTCGAAGATTTATCTCAATATCCAAGCGAGAAAAATCCAGCTCACTACATGGTACCTCCATCACCGTCTACCAACTTCAAGGCTTCTTCTCCGAAACCAGGTTTCTCCAGTCGTCCGCATGCTATTCTATTGTCACCTGTACGCGGGAGACCGCAAGAAGTGCCAGAGACGCCTGTATTAAGACCCGATAAGAGACCATCGGAGATTCACCTGATCAAACGACCCGACGGATCCGGAGGATCCGGTCAAGGTCACGTTCATACAGAAATTCTTGTACATCACAAACCGGAGACAGTAAACGTTCGACCCCAGCCCGCTTCTCATCCGTCTGCTCATCATTCCGTGCATCAACCGCCAGTGCGCGGTCACCAAGGCGGTCACTTTTCGAGTGGTCAAACTCCGGTGGAAGCTCCGCCGAGGCGTGGAGAGGTCTCGCCGACCGAAGTTCCACATCGATATATATTCCTTGGAAAACCGGATTCTGGAAACGAGATAACCTTAAACACCAACTGGAAATCCGACAAGAAACCAATCAGATTCGCTCTGAATAATCGACCGAGACCGCGACCAAGACCGACGACCAATCGACCCTTAGACAGACACGTCTTTGTGGAACGACCTACTGGATATCCGCCGATTAGGAAACCAACGTATTCCGGACCACAGAGACCTCCGGTAAAGACGCACAACACCTTCGTGTTACCGCATCGGCCACCGTTGAATTCTCAGCCTCACCAGGAACCTACACGGATATCGTCTAATCCACTTCAAACTGATAATCAAAACAGACCGCCGCAAATTTATCTGGATAAGACGAATGTAGGTAACGTTGTGCCGCCGAATTTGCCAACTGCAGAGCAGAACGATCACGTGCCCACCGGAGCGATAGAATATCACAATCCTTTACATCCAAATCCGATAACGGAAGAAAATAAGCATTCTCAGGTATCCGCTACGAAAACACAGCATGTGCCAGGAGATCATCTTGAAAAGTGGCAGACTAATAAATTTACAGAGCAGGCGCAATTGGATTCTGACATCGGTGCCTCGGAGTATGTTAATTATCAGAATTATGGAAAAGGAAACAGAAGCGAAGAAATCGATGATCAGGACACGATAGATTCTCAAAGCATCAATCAAACGCTGGCATCGCAAACTTTATATGGACCAGTTGTTTCCATCAATACGGTCGTAGGCAAACCGCTAGAAGTCGGACAAGAACATGACATAACTTACGAACGTGAAACAGATGGAAAGCCGTCGTTGCAAGGACCTCACGGTACCGCTCTCTATAACACGAGACCTTATGAATTGCCTATAGTACAAGGCAAGCCATTCGGCGTTTACAACGGCTACGTAGATCCAACCACTCCTTACGGATACAAACAAAAAGACGGCAAACCCGATTACGAAATAGTTCACGGTATACCCGCTCCTAATGCAAAACCAATTGCGACCAAGAAGACGCAAGGCGGACAAGTCACAACACTGAATTCACTAGAACGCGATGATACCATCGATTTGAAGCCTCCGGCGATTATACCTCAATTTGAGGCAGATAGGCCCGGAAGGCCGTTCTCTAGACCGATCAGACCTGACTCGAGGCCCGGTCTAACTCGAATTAAACCAGAGATATTAATGAAACCGCCAATTAAATTAGAAGTGAGACCGGATTACGCTATAAAACGTCCGGACAACGTTAAGCCGAATAATAATGCAGAAATTTTTGTCAATCAAACATTAAACCACGGAATTAAAATAAATCATAATCTTCAGAATTGGAACGTAGACGTAGCGGTCCCGGATATTGTGAAGTCTCAACAAAAAATATCAGCCGGACATGATTTCCGAACTTCTGAAACGAAAGCAAATGAGAATAAAAATGGTACTCGTCCGACGAATTACGGCAATAAACGCCCAAGCGTCGTTCGACCAGAGCACGGAACATTCACGAGAGTGCATCCGGAATATCCTCACATCTTGACGAAACCGAAACCTCAAGTGCCGGAGCCGGTAATCGTCTCGAGCGGTACCGCGGGACTGGAAACACACGGTCGTCCGAACGTCAAGTTCTCCATGTCGGTCGAGGCTACGGGCGGGGAAGTGGACAGTAAGACGCAAACCGAGCGGCCGCCCAGCATGTTAATCACGAAGAATAATCTATCGCATAACAAAAAGAACGATGAGGCAATGAACACGGCGTATCAGACGAATTTTGCCTCCTCAGATTCTCAAGGCGAGCAGGACAAAATCAAGGAAACGAACGTTCCCTCTAGAAACATGATGCCGCCACCCCTAAACGGAGGCGTCGGACCGAAGAAAAAAGAGCAAGAGGGACTTAAACCACCGCCACCGCCGCCGAGCGATGTATTCGGATTGTCGCCACCACCGGTAGACATCACTACCACTCATATACCGGTAGATGATAGATTCGCTTTAATGACGACCGACGAGTCGGGTCTGAAGCCGCCGAAATATGTACCTTTAAAAGAATCGACAACGATCGCACCGCCCCGCACAAACATGGTTCCACCTAGACCGTCGCTTACGAGACCTTTCCTCGTAGAATTATTGTCACAGGTACAACTTTAAAATTTTTTATTTGTAAATCATAAGATTTACAAGATGTCTATCTCAAAAGCATATAATTTAATGATATTTGTTATATTCTAGGACATGGTGCCGCCGCCACCAATATTGACAACTACGAGGCCGCTCGAGATCGCTACCGTGAGACCGGCTGTCGCGGTTTCCGGTTCTATACAAATAGCTACCGCCGTCGCGACGTCTCATATCCCGGTAATTCAGGATATTGAATCGAAAATTCCAATTATTCACGGTACGGTTGATCTGCCAGTCGTAGTCGACGTTCCCGATATCCTCCGACCTGTGGAAACGCGGATGAGCGAACATGTTAGCATTTATACCGTGCGACCGTTCGATACAAGACCCGTGTCTAGGTATGTAAATTATTTAATAAATCTCTGTTACGTACGAACGATTAATGATTCGATTGTTGCATTTTAGAATCGGCATTCAATCGACATCGATATTGTCCACAAACATAGTAATACCGACAAAGCTACGGCCACCTCAAGTGGATCACATTCAGCCGAGCAGATCGTCGACAATCCATCGCGATGTTAATCCGACGAGATCATACGTTTTGGAAATCCCACCAAATCCTGTCAAGCGACCCGAGCATCCGGTGTTCTTAGAATCCAGCCACGAAAGCATCCTACCGTCGACAAGAATGGAGCCTACCGAATCTTTAACGTTCGCTACGGAAAAGAAACAGCATTCAGCAATATCGAATGTCAAGACGCAAAAGCCGCAAGTAACCGAATTCAGCATCGTGAATAAAACGGCGAGCAAAGAGTCATCCGTGATCGTGACTAGAGTCGACAGTTCGATCAGTAAAGTAACTAATACGTTGATACCAACGCCGGGCAATAAGACGCGTATCGAGGCAAGCAACGCGGCTACGCAGTTTACGAAGAACATTGCAAAGGCGACTAATACCGTCGCTAGGGATCAATCAAACGCTACTATACGCACGAAGCCAAAAGAGGTACGAGGCATCTCGATATAAATTTAAATAATTGTTATTTCACGAATAATCGCATGTATTAATTATATACATTAATGTTTGCAAACTAGGTGACGCGATTTAAAACTTCGACGGTAACGAGAACTAAAACGTCGGTGTTGGGATCGCCGCCAACGACGAGGACGCTTTTACTCACGCACACGATGACCACGACGACCGTCGAGACTGTCACGGAAACGCTGCTACGTCCGACAAGCGTAGTGTCCACGGTAACTTCGACGATCTTACAATCGATTGTTACGAGGATACCTTCAACGTACGACAATGTAGCGGATAATGACTCCATATTTGTCGTGATGAGCGATCAAAAACCACCGGGAGCCGGGGCGGAAGAGGTACTGACTCATGTAATATAATACTACATGCTATTTGTCATAATAAACAGAAGCTTCTCATTAAGCGCATTTCACTTGCAAATCTCTCGGTTTTCTCTTGAGTCGATCTTTTCTTATCAGATACAATTATACAATAATTTACATAAACGGGCATGTTTTCCTTGTATTTTAGGTGGAAGCCGAATACGGGGAGGAAGTTTCTCGCGACGAGCAAGATCCGACGGGCAACGAAATCCACAGAGTACTGTCGGGTGGAATACTTGGCGCGCCAGTAGTACCTCTTACGCCGGCTGCGAACCAGTGCACACCGGAGTGTAAGTCGTCCAAATCTGAGATATGCGCCGAAGTAGGAACTGAAATGAGGTGCGTCTGTCGGCCGGGATTCGCGAGGATGTTCCCGGATCGCCCCTGCAAACGTGAGTTCACAGATGCATCTGTGTATAATTTTTTGACAACGTTCCTTGCTTCGCGGATATATTGCTCGGTTTAACATGCTTGAATTAACTCGTAATAATTTTTTTAGCGACCTACACGTACACACTGCGCGTTGGTCTGGACCGCGTCGGCCACGAATTCGTGGCGTACGATACTGCCTTAAACGATACTACATCGGCAATTTACAAACGTTTGATAGTTCCGACGAGGGACGCTTTGGATAGAACTTTAATGCAGAGTGACTTGAGGGATGTGTACAGAGGTCTCAAGATTGCTGGGTTCATTCCGGATCCTACGAAGGTCGAATTTCACGTGCAGCTGAGCGATAACGCTAATGAGACCAGATTGAAGGAAGTTCTTCGAAAATATTTAGTTGGAAGCAATTACAGCTTAGGTGGCACAGAGGTCTACGCTTCTAAGAATCTTGATTCAGTAAGTTATAAAAAAATCGATATATACAATTATAATAACTAAAAATTCAAGGCGTTCTGTTTTTAATTATGTATTGTTGATATTTAATTCTTTAATATAATTTAGATCGAGGCAGCCGATTTTGATGAATGCGCTTCCAAGGAAGGCGGTCCGCATCACGACTGTTCGCCCTACGCGGCATGCTTCAATTTACGAGGATCCTATCAGTGTTCTTGTAGAGAAGGCTGGGCTGATTTATCAGAAAATCCAGCGTATCCCGGAAGGGTATGCTCACAAGCTCCATTAGGATGCGCTGGTTGCAATAATAAAGGTCATTGCGTCACCAATTCTCTCGGTCAGGAGGTATGCGAGTGCTTCCCTTGGCACAGTGGCCAACGGTGTCAAGTTAATCTCAAAGGTGAAAAAAAGCATCTTTTATGAAGTATAACGACTTTGCAATAAATCAGAACCAAAAGAATATTACAAAACTTAATCAATTATATTTTCATATATTTGCAGTTTTGTTGATAGCTTTAGTAACGACCGGCGCAATCTTGCTGGGTCTCCTAGCAATCTGTGTGGGAATGACGTGCTTCCGTCATCCAGGCCGCGATCGGAAGATCGGCGACAGACGAGCTATAATCCCCGGAACAGGCGGTGATACTAGCAGCGAGGGTAGCGTCACTGACTTGGCGATACCTCATCACGTACCGCACGTCTTGCCACCGCCGCCGCAAATGATAGCTCCCTTGCCGCCGAACAAACGGCCAGTTCGTAAGATCAGCGCGAAGCCTCGTCATCCACCAAGAAAAGCTACTATGGTGCCTGCCGGTATGTTTTTGCTATTGCTACTTCTTATTTGTTATAGGTATTTCAAATAATCTCCTTCATATTCAAAATTTTTCTTTACATTTTTCATGATGTTGGTTATAAAGATAACATGCTAAAGTCACTGTTTTTTAATCAATTTGACGTCCCTACAGTGATACCAGTAAACGACGATCAGCGTGATCGCTCCTTGACAGTTATGATCCCACGAGCAAAATATCGATCGGCGCCGCAATCACCGCAAAATTACAATAAGACCGTCATGAGTACATTTGCCGCCGAGGAGCACAAACTCATAAATTATCTCGACAACGGCGTGAACTCTCCCGCTAACAGGAAACAAAGTATATCTAGCGCGAAAGATTGCAAAGAAGCTGATTTGCAAGGCGCGAGAAACCCAATAACACCCACGGGTGCTCTCGTGAGTGCCGGTTTTCAGGTACAGCTCGATTTTAATCTCAATGATAAGTCTAAAATGCCTAGAAAACGTACAAAAAGTGTATCTGTAACGGGATTTTAATTATCGACAGGTTTCGGCGACGGTGACACGTATTGTGGACGCTGAATCCACCTTGGCACGTTCGTGCGGCGAGACCACTGTGGAACCAGCGACGAAGATACTGAGGAGCGGAGATCTTCAGGTTGATCTCGATTCGACTTTAGCACGCTCGTGCGGCGAGACAACCATCCAAGCTCCGACAAAACTCCTCAGATTGGATCTGGGCGAGGCTGGTTCTACCCTGGCGAGATCGTGCGGCGAAACGACGATCCAACCGCCGACAAAAGTCGCCGCCGTCCGACGAAACAGCGTCAAGGACACCAGAGATAACAGGGACACTAGAGACAGCGCCAGCGAGGGTCACACCATGGCTGAGCGTGATCTAGGGAGCACATTGAGACTTCCGGCGCAACATCCGCCGTTATACAGTCAGGATAGAGTAAGTATCTTACGAATTTACATCCAAATTCTTCTTCATGGATCACTAATATTTAATATCCTATTGAAATTGCTATTTTGTTATTAATTGATTCACAGACTAGCGATCGGGAATCCAATTTCGATTCGTTATAGACGCTCAAACGAGAACGAGTCACGACGTATGGGAAGATTGATTGCGGACGAGACCGCTGGACGGTATTCTCCGTAGATTTATGAATCATTGTATGTTGAAATTTGCCGCTATCAAAACACGCGAAGCAACATATTTCATTTCATTTGGTGTTATCGGTTTATTTATTTATCGCGATTGTTATGTTGTTTCTTTTCTATTCCTGTTACGGTATATTTACTTATTTATAATGCCTGTTCACTAAAATTAATGACGTTTCTCTAACAATCAGAGGAACTCTTCTAAATGCAATATCTGATCGGCGAATATTTGTCAAATTAAAAAATTTACGCGTAATTTCGCTTCAAGGCGAAAGAAATAAGCGCGCGTGACTCAACCCCGTGCCAAAATACAACCAATGAAATAGGGAAGACTGCGAAGAAGCTCTTTCTTGCCTTCCCTATCGTTTTCACGAGATCGAGCGACTCGTCGCTGCAGAGCTGATCGAAATATTAGAATATTTTATTAATTAAAAAATTTTAATAATTAATAATTTCAAATCGTATCAAGAGAGTATCAAGTTTAATATAAAAAAAATTATCAGTCTTTACGGATAAACTTTTACACAGAATTAGAAAAATATTACAAGTGTTTATGTGAATTAAAATTTGGAAATAATATTTCGATCGTCGCGCAGCTTACCGTGCACGTGCAAGCATGGTGCAACAGTGTCATAAATAGTGGATGGCGCCAAATCGTTCGTGCTGACAGCATAACGAAATAGCTCGATGCTTACATTGATCACGAAAGGAGAATATTTTTTTTATTTTTGTTGTTACTGTTTGTTTGTTTAGTTTATTCTCCGACAAGTCGTGTCATGTTGCCCGGCTTCGTTGCAAAGAATTCAGGAGCGATCGAACTTGCGCTCAAGATCGATAGTGAATAGCCGTTCTAGTATCTGCTCGAGTGTAAATTGTTTGTTATGTTACATAATATTTTTACGCTATACACACATCTGTAGTCTTTAATACATTTATACCAGACAAACGCTACTTTCTACGTATATCTAATTCCAATGATATGTAATTTTGACGATAAATTTGAAGATAAATTTTGCATTTAGAAATTAATATGTTAAAAATAATTTCAAAAGAGATAATTGCATATAATTGCGTTATAACATTTTACATTCGAGAGACATACAAACGTCTTCCACTTCATTCAGGACGAAGCCGCGGCAACGTCGCTATATATCAGACTCGAGAAAGAGCAAAGACAAGACGCGTTAAGCTCGCGATGTATTTACTGTTAGCTCAATAAATAGCGTAAGTGGAGGTGTAATGAAGGACAGGTGTAACACATATCGAGATTCTCTCGTAAGCTCCACGCTTAATCGGAAGATTACACGAGACGGATTAAATTTTCTGCCGGTTTGAGAAAACGAAGATGACGATGCTCATATATCTTAAGTTTCGTTAATTATGTTTACTAACCTTGTCCCTCCTTACATCAAAAAATCAACCTTTCCTTTATATATATACATATATGCATACACGTATAAATATAGATGTATCACCCTGTTGTACATATACTCTCTCCACCGGAACCTCTTCTACGTAATGCTATTGTAATTTTGTACACACTTAGCGCATGTATACTTATACGTACTTTTAATAAAAGTCAATAATATAACGGCATGTCTTAAACGTACCTGTTTGTCATACTCAAGAAGTTATAATCAACTTAAGTACGTAAGCTGAATCTTTAATTAATAATATTTTAACACACAAGATATATTATCCGCGTTTTATTGCATTATTATTGTAATCACGCGGTCCCATTACTAAGATTTTATCTATTGCGTTTTAATAATCTGTTTTAACCAACTTATCCTCTAACTTTCATCTTTTTGCGTAAACTTTAAAGTAACATAAAATGTCCTAAAAAGATTCTTTGATTTTTATTAGAATGAAAATTGTTATAAATTGAAGGTAATTAGTCAACAAGCTTGAAAAAGAGAAAGATAAGTCACTCGATGTTATGAAACCAAGATATGAAAGAAAAGAGAACAATCGAAAACCGAAATAAAGGCGTCGTCGATGATGAAATACAATTAATCGAATCCTTTATAATGTTACAGATTATAATCTATAACTGTTATGCGTAGAGAACTACCATTTATTATATGATAGGCATTCATCGATATAAGTTACTAAAAAGAAACGTTTTTATATATTAAAACATTATGTAAGTCCCGTAGATAATATACACTAATTATTTATTCTTATAATAAATTTTTAACGTTGTACATATAAGTTTTGATGTCTCAACCTACTCTCAGCCTACAACACGTCGTCGACGGCGAGAGCAGTTTCTACGGCTCACCGTAAAATCGTAAATGGTGACTTGATTAATTTCCAATCAGCGGGTTTATTGTTTCGCAAATTCGATTATGTGCGCTGAACATTTATGGAAGCAATTTCGGACGTAGCCCTTCGCGGCTCAGCCCGTCGTTGGCATTGAGAGTCGACGGCCTGACGACTCTCGCTGGGAGAAAAAGCGGCGACGTGCGCCGGTCCGCGTTTCGTGATTCGTCGCGGGCCGCGACTAAAACATGAGCCTAATCCGCAAAACAAACCGATCCTCCGAGAGTCCCATTCCGAGACACGATCCTTGGCTGTGATTTCTACGTCCCCATACGCGACGAAAGGCCCGATTCGTCGAAGGGCCCCGACGAAGGGCAGGACGGCAACTGCCCGCAAATGACTTTATTTATACCCTCGACCCCTTATTAGGACTCCTTATTAGGACACTAGCTGTGGCAATCGCGAATTCACCGGGAAAATAATTCAGTTTACGTGAAACCTGTTTCCGAGCATCAGCTTTAGCGGCCGGATGGAGTGCAGCAGTTTAACTTGTGGCTATGACGGAATTGTCACTAATCGTCGCTCTAAGCTACGACCCATATATAATTTTAAAAAATTGCAAAAACATTGTAAAAAGATTGCGTCTCATAGCAATATTACAGAAACCCGATATTACATCTTTATTACAAAAATTGAATGAAAAGTTATATGCACTATTAAATTCAGCACCGTGAAAAATTGATTTCCAATTAACTACCTAAAGTGTTGATTCATCAAAAACTTATGAGCACAACATCTACCGCAAATGACTTCATCTACGCCTCTCTGGTTTTATTAGGATTCTTCCAAGCGTGGTAATCGCGACAGCAATTTAACTTACGTTGACCGCTCCCTTGTTTAAGGTCCACCTGTGTTTGCAATTCGATATAGAGTGCCAAATTCTATACATTTTACTGAAACACTATTTATGAAGTTTGTTATATCTACAAAGTTATATATGTAAAAAAATGATTTAATAATAAGAATTGAAGAAATCACGACTGAGACAATAAATGTTAAAAACCTTGAATTCGATACCATTTATGTTACGTTGAATGGAATATTACACTTCATCAACGTATGAATAAAATAAGGTCACATTTGTATTTTGAAAAATACAAATGTGTCTCTGTCATACGTAAGATAATAAGAAAATAATGACCAGAAGAATTCTTTACCATGCAACGACCTAAAATGACTTAATTTTTAACGCGAACTCTTATTATTTGTCATTCTCACAAAGTCCGTCAACCGTGAAGCCTTTGCGACACGCAAGATAATTTGCTCCGCATCTGTGTTTAAGAATCCTCTGATAGGTGTTGGAGTTATACGTTTTTGTCGACTCGTCAACAAAACACAGAAAAATACATATGCCATTATCCTATTTAATTTAGGTAGAAAAGAAAAGTTTATATTACAGAATATATGATTTCTAACAGTTTAAATAAAATTACCAATTAATTCATGTTTGTTAATATAACTTACTCCTTAGATACACGACTTTTCTAATAAATTTTGTAAAAATTCAAAAAAATAATTTTAATAATTTTTTAAATTAAACACTATCACACTTAAACTTTAAGTTAGCACTTTTTTTTAAAAAATTACTAAAAAAAAATTTATAGAGACTATTGAAAGAATATTATAAGAAATAAATATTGCATAATCTTAAAAAATTCTTTCTATATATCCAGAGAAAATCGTATAAATGGAAATCATTAAATTAGAAAATTAGAAAAACAGATGTTTTCCTCGAAAACTAAAATAAATAATATTCTTTCAAATTTCATGTTCTCTGTGATGTTAAGAGTTACGAGTATTAAGTATCAATTTGCAGATTAATAAAAAATTGTATATCCTCTCGATTGTCAGAGCGACCTTTTTACGCCATTTTATTGCAACCCTTTGGATGACTAAAAGAAAGTGTATGCAAACGTATGCACCGCAATAGGAGCACGTTGAGGATGCGAAGTAGTGGGGGCAAACTTTTCGCGGCGTACGTGGACCAGCCGCTACTACCATTCGGATTGTTCGTCCCCCTCTTCAAGACACCTTACCTCGTCTCTCGATACCCCGCCGCTTCCGAGTCATCGACGTTTGGATAAAGGGAGTTTCTCTGTCGGTAAGGAAGGGAGATCAGGGTGACGCCCCCCTGGATGCGAGTCTTCCACCGGTGGGGCTAAATATCCCATCTTCCTTGCGCCCGTACCTCTTTACATCCCGTCTTCGTTACCAACGAGAGCTTCGTCCTCCATCTTCTTCCCACTCTCTCTCTCTCGCCCTTGCTTCCCATCTCTCTATCTGGTACCGCCGGCTGCTGGCAGCGCGGAAGGGATCCAGAGCGAGGGGAAAGCCGGCCGTGAAATTAAAACATGATGAGGGGTCTAGATTGAGATGCGAGGGAGAGAGAGATGGCGAAGGAGTAAAAAAGAAGGAATGACGAAGAGGACGGAGGTAACGGCGAAGACGGAGACGGCGCTAACGCCAGGGACGCATCCGCGAGCGGTACATAAATGAACGTCGATTTCGCGGATGGCGTTCGCTTTGGCCTTTGTGTCTTTTGGCATATATGCATCACATATATTTCGCGAAGTGATTTTTTATTTGTTAAATTATTTCTATCTTCTAAAGAAAAAAAAATACCAAGCGCTAGCTCGATTTTTTTTTCAATAAACGCTTAAAGTATTATGACTTTGAAAAACATTTTTCTTTGAATTTTTCTCTGAATTAATTTATCTGATAATTAAAGATATTATCTAAACAATTGTGTGTCACTGTACATTTTGTAGGTCAACAAAATCAGAGTACTACATTTAATTCTACACACGTTCATGCTTTCAAGCTTCCTCACTTAGGTCTTAAGTCCAACTCTACGAGTAGTTGGTCACAATGTCGTCACACCGGTCGCATGTCCTTTTTACACATCACATGCCACGAAATAAATTGTCCAGAAATTCTAAGGTCGGCTCGCTTTGTGGGATTAGCCAGGAGAAACGGCGGGCTACCAGTCACAAATCATCAGGTCATCCAGTCACAAGTTACCACCTATCACGCACCACGTGACTTCACCATCGACATATTTACCACCTGGATTTATTACGAGCCAGCATTTCCGACGGAGCTACAGCGACGCGGACGAATCTTTGAGGCGGTCGCAACCGTTCCATTATATCTTTCCCCCCTCGTGATAGTCATATAGTTTGTAAACCAGGCGTGATCGTGCCCATCAACTACTCATAATGATCGTCTTGGCCTGCCGTCTCGTACTATGCTTATTCATCCGTCAAAGTACCGCATCGAGCTTCATCATAGAGTGTTAGAATTGAAAAGGATTCTATTAGCAGTGCATAAAACAAATGTTAAATTGGCATTTATTTAAATATTCATAATCTATCAAATAATGTGTAACCTGACAAACCGATTTATTAGCTTATAATAGCAATGCGTATACTCCTAGCTCTTTCTGTTTTTCAAATATACATATTTATAAATGAATAAGAAAAACAAGAGGACGAACTATGTCGATAAAATCAAAATGAAAAACGAAGATCTAAAACTTTTCATAACTTTTCTAAAACTTTCAATTCAAAGAGGAAAGAGTGATGTACAAAAGAGAAATTCCTCTTTTTTTTTAAATTACACGATCAATAATCATACATTAAAATACATTCGTAAGATATTCATTTACGTGCGATTTACGCATATAATTTTTAAAAAAGTAAGAGAATTCGAAAGAGACAGAATACTACTTATTGCGATGTATGTTTGCGGGTTAAACGGTCCGAGTAGCCATAAACCGTTACGACAACGTGCTTCGTGTTCGAATTTTCTGTGAAATCCTTTTCACGCGATTGGTTCCGCGAACGATCGGTATTGACGGCCGGACGGATAGTTTCAGCGAGGGTGCGTGAGGACGATGACGGCCGACAGTCCTCCCTGTATCGTAGTCCTTAGGGACCGTTCGATAGCGCGAGGTCCTGCGGCCCATAGATCACGGCGGGTTCTCTCTATCCCCTTTTCAGGAAGCGGCACAATGCTGGGTACCGATGCTGCCTGCCATTATAGGCAGAGCCGATCCGGTCGCGGCCCTGCCTCGACAATGGATGCGAAGTCGGCCATTGTGCGGGTGATTTGGGACCTTGGGATAGAGCCGGAGAGGCCTTCCCTCTTTCTGCCGAGTTACCGAGATGTCTTCATTAGGCCCATTTCGCCGCTCCGGGATATACAGAGAAGTGCGGTTTGTTACGACCCGGTGAAGAGCGAGGAGAGAAGCTGAACATTTGAGAATCGGCAGCGTGAATTGGAGGTGGCATGGTACGAGGGAAGTTGCGCGTTCCGAAGATTTTTCCAGATAATGAGGAGCGTGTAATTGTTTAATACGGGTAGAGAATTACTTCTTTTCTCTCAAAATATTGAAAAACATCCCGCGAGGAATATGGCCATGACGAAGTTAAAATCGCATACAAAATGCCTGCGCAGACTTTAATAAATGACTGATGACGATGACGATGACCGTATTGATATTTAAATTTATTCATTTTGTAGAAACTTATTTATTTTTGAAGAAACTTATTTATTAAATTATTACTCTACTATGTATAATCAAATTATTTTTTAACAACGTAATTATTACTAAGCAGAATCGGTGTAAAAGTAATATATCAATCAGAGATTTTATGATAAATAGGATTGACGATGTTTTCCTCAAGTCGTAGCATAGTTTTCAAAGGAAATTCGTACAATTTGCGAATATTCACAGGGGAGTTGGAGCGATGAATGACACAAAGACGGGACATTAGCCGGATGGATCCTGTCATTTGCCGGGATTTACCTGCCCTTTCGGTCTTTTTTTCGTACCACATTTAGTCCTTCCCCCCGTCGTGAGACGTCGCAAGTCAGGCTCGAAATGG